AGGGTTTTCCCTTGGTTTTCAGATGGCACGGGCTTTTTAATTAGAAGGAAATTCTAACATATATTTATAATATTTATGTAACATCAACTAACCAGCTTCCTTGGTTAACATAACTTGGTATTTGTTAGCTACGTTAGCAATTTTGTAAGCTTGTAAAATATCTTCCCAAGCATCACTCCTCACCAAAGTTATAGCCTAATTCATGTATTCTTTGTGGAGGCTTACCTTATCGTTGGCTGTAACTATCGTCTTGAGTTGATGGTGCAGAGAAATATCAAATCAGTTGATTGATTAGCTTGGCAATGCTGTCAAACAAACAAACCTTCATCTGAACACTGACTACATTGACAGGTCATTCCTGTTGCCAGCTTACCTTTTATTTTGAGATCAAGTCATTGCATAAAACTAACCGTTGTTTATACATTCATTCGGCTTAGGTGTTCTGTAAAAACATTTAGGTGCTGGTAGGGAAAACCCTGTTACATATGTGTAATTATGTTCTTCACACATTCCACTCGGCCTCATGTGTGGTACTTCTTTGACTGAAGCATTACTGACATTGTGTGTAATGCTCCAGCAGGAGCCTGTTCAGTTTGAGTAGGTAAATACAGCACAATAGTCCTAGTGGTGTCAGGAGATGCATGAATAGTGAAAGGTTTGCGTCAGACCCTTGAACCAGTGGATTGATGCCAGGTGATGTGTTCTTGGTGGGAGAGCACATCCATTTTTCTTTTCTTGCTGAGCTGGATGAGGTCATTTTGGATTTCAAGCAGATAAAGCATGATGGAGACAAATGATTCTTGCATTTGACAAAGCATAAATTCTGGCGATTCGAATGTAATAAAGTGAAAACATCTTCCATTCTGGCACAGCTGTTTGGCGAATATTAAGTGCTCAGATGTCAGCTTTACACAATGTACCCGTTTTTTTTTTGTTTTTTTTTAGCTAAATTTTATTGCAGGCTGCTTTTTCAGTGCCTCTGTCATTTATTAGATGTTATATTCACTGCACACTGAACAGGGAGCATGCATCAGTTAAATTAGTTATTTAATAGAGTTGGAGAGGAGATTGTCTTTGCACACTGAGATGCTAAAACAAATTTTCACAACATTTTTTTTTTGACAAATTGCTGAGACAACAGGGGAAGAGGGAGGTGAAATTAGGCAAGTGAAACTGCTCACTAAAATGTTGGCGAGCTGAACTGAGTGAACCCCCCCACAGAGCGAATCCCAGGGCTCACTGTGCCTGGACAGCTGGTGCTGCTGTTCGGTCCAGCGGATAAGGGCAGTTGCTTCATGAGGACAAATCTCTGCATGATGGGAGATAATCCAGCAGTAGATGGTGCTTACCTCATATCCTCCTTTTTCCAGTGAAATAAAACATGCCTGTGAAGTTGCACATCTTCCTCCTCCTCGGTTTGCTTTCCCTGCATTGTGACATTCTTATAAATGAGGGTGTTTTAACGCTGAGCTATTCCAGCACTGAAAGCCTTTCTTCTGTCAGTTCTACTAGTTTTTCATCCATATTTGCTAAAACACATGGAAAAACCTAGTTAAAATGCAGTTGTTTGTGTTTTCAAATTGTTATTGAACAGACCAGTGTCCTCAGAAAATGAGGCAGGTGGAGTCTGGTCAGGTCAGTTCACTCGATTAAGGTAAAATATGTCTGATTGAGAAATCAGTCAAAATTATTCCATTGACATTTTATAGTAAGAAGCTTTCGTGACAAATTGTGATTTATGTGTTTCTCTGTGGCTCCAGATGAAATGTATCCCACATTTCGCTGAACCAACCGTTTCAATCAGGAAAGTTGTTTTCTTTCTTTTTGTCTGTTGTTTGGAAAGTCAAAGGGGCCAGTTCTCTCTAGCCAACATTTGGGAATCCAGACTGTTTAACCATTGTGCACTGTGTGTAGGCAGGTTGTTAGTGAGCGAGTTCCTCGGTTTGTGTGTGTGTGTGTAGATGGGTTACGAGGAGAAGGAGACACATTTCTCAACCCCACCCCCCTCACTTCTATCTTTATATGCTTTCTTCCATCCAAATGTTCTTCTGTGTCACCCCCCCCCCCCCTTCTCTGCTGCATGCTGCAACACAGTTTCTGGGCAGCGTTGTGTTGGAGTCAGGGGCCTGCCTGGTATCGAAACACAAACCAGCTGACTGAGTGCAGAACTGCGGCAACAAAAAGACAAGTTGTAGATGTTTTGGTTGGATCATGGAAAGCCTGACAGGTTGGGATGCTGACTAACAGTTGTGGAAGTTTTTTGACTATATAGCTGCATTAAAGTGGTTTTCACTTCTGGTATTTGCTACTACTAACGAGTCAAATAGTTCAGCAATTACTGATCAGACAGCTGTGAATATGGTTTGGATATTCGTGGTCCCCAAAGGATGATTCATGGTTTGTTCACCTTTTGTTCACTATTGGTCCAAAAGCTCCCTGTGTCCATCAGTTAAAGGGGAAGTGCAATTAATTATTACACTGTTGTAAAACCAGGAGACTCCGAGGACAAATTATGGAACAAACTCTTGTATTCCCAGTGGTGCAACTGAGCTGTGTCTTTCACTGGACCCTTCCTGGCTTGTTCAGTTTGGGCACAACTGGGCCCAAACTCCTTTTTTACATGAAAAGGAGTAAACACACCCCCTGCAGCAAACGGACATTAAAATAAATTCTTCAGACCTTACTGTGCTGTTACTTTTTATTTCATAAACTTAAAAAAATAGCAAGAATAAACTCGGTAATTGTGGCCTGTGCAGGAGTCTGGGCACCCTACCAAGTCAATAGTGACTCCCCTTGGCCGATACTCCAACTAGTTCATGGTGCAATTGGAGGTCTGCTTTGGATCAAGCCTGAGCCTGGAGACTACAAATGTTATGCAACTGTTTTCACACTGCATATTCAATATAATGAAGTGGGCCTTTAAAGCCATAAGATAACCCCAAAAACAACCGGCCAGATATCATGGTCCTCAGAGGATGAATCCTATTGTTTCAGCGACTCTCTGACATTTTCCTTACAGCTTTTATCAGGACAGACTCTCCAGCTGTACACAGGCCTTACATGTATAAAACTATAAAGGTCAGACAGTACTGAAAATACTGATACCATAGAACAGTTTCTGTTTTGGAGACTCCAGACCTTTTTCTCTCCATTCTCAGGGTAAATGTAAGATTAGTGGCTCATTGGCTCCAAAAAATACTAAATACTTGTTGGTACTTTCATACACTGGTGTGTAATGAACTTTGCAGCCTCCACAGGCAGCAAATGGAGCTTTAACTTAAACTCTGACATAATAACCAAGGAGTGTAGTGTGTGATTAAAAACTTCATGAGGCTGTTTTACTGCAGTCGTGGAGTTAGCTTGGGCTAACCCTGCTTTTTACCTTGGCCTTAGCGTCTGTCTGTGGCGTCGCTTTGTTATTAAACTATTAAAATAAAACCCATGAACACTGAAGTTTTTTTGGCATTAACTGTCAAATCTGACTTCTCAGACTTTGTGTAAGTGTAAGTTTCTGACTAACACAGGCACATGCAAAGGAAGGTTTCCCAGAATGGTTTCATGAATAAAGAAAGACCTGTGACTAAGTTTCCACATGGGCAGAGATGACCCGCAGCAAACTGTGTAAAGTGATTAGCCCTAAAATACGTCCATGGTGGTGGTGGAAGAGTTTGTGCACTGTTCATATGCAAACTATTACAGTGAATATAAATTGTAAAGTGTTGGTTAGACATGTGGCAGGAGCCAGCAGCATTAATTGAACAATATAAATAATAGTAGAAATTGTTCAAACATACACAAATAACGCCAAGCGTCAACACAGAGTTGATGCTGATGGATTAACAATGTGCGTGCTCAGTCCCGGGCGGTTTCACTGCACGTTGTCCCACATGAACTTCATACGCCAAGAGAAACTCCATTTGAAAAATTTAGAAATGTGTTTGTGCATGAGCACATGTCGGAGGACAAGTTGAGACAGGATGTAAGAAACAGCTTTGTGCTAATATTTCAAAAATGTTCTGAGCAGCTAAGAGAAGCTGTTAACACCGTTTGTCTGTTCCAGATGATGAGAAGCGTCTGGTGGAGGAGGTGTTCAGCAACGCAGTGGACTGTCTGTCAGACGAAGACAAGAAGCTCCCTCAGGTGACGAGGACTCGCCTCTCTCGCGCTTTGTCCTCTCAGTTTGTTTGATGTTTTTATAAACATCCGCGTTGTTCTCACTTCACATTTTGCCACCTTGTTAAAAACCCCCTCACTGTTTACATGTCAGTCATTTTCTACCAAGAGGAGGCAGTTCAACAGCGTTAATATAAATAGCCGCACACATAATGTCAACACGGGCTCGAACACTGCGCTCCTGTTACTCTACCCTGCTGTGCTGAGTCACATTGTGAAAGCCGGCTGTGTTGAGACAGTAGTTGTTAGTGGTTGACTGCTACGGTGTGAGCAGCGGCAGAGCCAACCATACATCACACTTTTCCACTACGATGTTTAGATGATTCTCCACAGGCTGGGATCTTTTGACCTGGTGAATTTGCACCATGACTAAACAAATGAATTAACACTAATCTGTGTTCCTCAGGTGGAGCATGTGCTGCCACTGTTGAAGAGGGGGATAGGCATCCACCACGGAGGCCTGCTGCCCATCCTGAAAGAAACCATAGAAATCCTTTTCTCTGAAGGCCTGCTCAAGGTACGACCGTGTCTTTCAAACATTTTGTACGAGAATGTTTTCAGGTTGTCTGTCCATCCCATTTATGTTTGATCAAGACCTCCAGTTGGAATAACATCTATCAGATGTTAGATATGCCAAGAAATACATCACTATACCAACAAAAGGCTGTGAACGCAGACTAATAACATGGATGAGTTGAGTACAATTCTAAATGTGTCCACTGAGCACGCCACTATCTATTTGAACGTCAAAGTTAACTTAATTCTGGTGAGAACAACTGAATGCTAGCGCTAAAGTGTTTGTTCACCATTAAGCTCCACTTGGCACGTCAGATGGTCTTAATGATTTTCATTCTCATTCCAGGCCTTGTTTGCCACAGAAACATTCGCCATGGGCATCAACATGCCGGCTCGCACGGTGCTCTTCACCAGCGCACGCAAGTTTGATGGCAAGAGTCACCGCTTTGTAAGAACGCGCACACACACACGCACAGTTATTGTCGCATATGTGTTTCAGTGAGGACAAACAGATTTTTTTGTAGTAAACCTTTTTTCTCTTCACTCATTGTGAGAAACAAACTCATGTATTTTCGTGTTTATCAAACTAAAGTATCGAAGAACTTCTACTGTAGGTGTCCTTGACGCGTCTCAGACTTGATTGGAGTCCACCTGTGGTGAATTGACAAAGAAAGGCACACAATTATGTAAATAAGGTCCCACAACTCAGACGGATACTAATAAGAATGTTATTGTTTCTGTTGCTTTAGGGACATACAAGCAGAAGGTGTCCTTAGCCAACATGCAGTGTAGTGCATAACTGCTTTTCTGTACCTCATGAAAGGAGAAACTACTTACCCCATAAACATGCAGTAAATGAGTGATATGAGGCTAATCTCCGTGTTACTGTAACTGGAACAAGTTTGAATCTTGGTAGTAAAACTCCCCATAAATGGTGCTATCTCTTTAAAACAACAGCTCCAGCCTGTGATGGGCTGTCAAACTCTGCTCTGAGGCCTTTATAAGGTCCTACAGTGCTGCAGCTTGCACCGCCACATAAACAGCCACGTAGTGTTT